ATAAAAAAAAAAATTAAAAATAAAAATTAAAAATAAAATTAAAAATTAAAAATAAAAAAAAAATTAAAATAAAAAAAATTTTTTTAAAAATAAAAAAAATTTTAAATTATATTCACTTCCTACCTACAGAAAGACCCAGAAAAGCTAACGCAATGCCATTAGATTCAACAGTGCTTTGGTCAAGAAGCATGTACCATGGACTCCAACGTGGTACAAATTTTCGAATAAATTTTAATGCTAGTGCAATGGCCTCACTAGTTTCTCTGTTAACAAAAAAATGAGAGCCAACATTCCAACAACCACAACTATCGCGAATATACAAAGTAAATAAGCGCTATCCATGCTTATTAGTATTATGTGTAGAGTCAATTAACGTTAGCCAACCATAATACATTAAGTTTTCGATTTGCCAGAAACTTGCGAAATATACGCCCCGAAGATGCACAAGAGATTCTCATTTTTGAAAAGACTCGACTTGGTAATTATTTTTTAATAAAAATTTGGTGGCACTTAAAATATCAGATTTTAAATTTACGTCTCCAACAAGATGCGAATTCATCGAACCAACAAGCTTTCATTTAATATTAGCAACCTCCTTAGTTTTTAAATACTCCACACCTGAGCCTTCACACACTTTAGAAACTTCTTTTCTAATAACATTTGCAATTGTTAGGGGTTTATAATCCTTAATTGCCTCGTTAGCCACCATATCTTTAATAAATTTTGATCGTTTATACACATCACTTTCTTCCATTGAATGATTATGATCGGAATCACTTATATTTGAATTATTATATTTTTTTTTTATTTATAAAAAAATATTTTGTCAGCTACATTTTTAAAAAAAAAAAACATTATATTTAAAATTTAAATTACATTATTTCTACTCTTACCCTCTCAATTCTAACTATACTTAAGGCCGCTAACCATATTATTCTAATTCTAGCTTTACAATCAATAGCGGGTCTTTTCCAGGTCATACGAAGCTTTTTGGGAGGAATGTTTTTTTTTCTCCCACTTGATTCCTTAGGCTTTGAAAGCCTACAAACAAAAGTTCTTCACTCATTACCATTATCTAAGTAGTATCTGTTAAATTTAGTCCACATATTATTTACAAAAGCCTACTGTTTATTAAAGTTTTCATTGGAAAGCTCAAATGCTTCGTTTACATTAAAAAAGTGTTCTCAGATAGTTGACATGACTGTAACAATAATCGTGTAGTCCAACTTAAGTGTACTACTATTTGATGCAGGGGTTTTTGCCGGAAGCTGCTTGTTGCAGATTTCTTTGGCTAAAATAAAGTTCGTTGTAAAGATTTATTTATTTATTTTTTTTTTATATATATTTTTTTTTATTTTTTTTCTATTTTTTTTATTTATTTATTTTTTTTAGTTTATTATATTAACACCCAAAATATCACAGATGTTTTTTTTTGTAAGTAGTGTTCTCACAGAGAACTTCAAGTTGCAATTATGAAGGCTTTGAATACAAAATTTGAAAAAAAAAAAATTTTTTTTCTGTTTAACTAATCGATTAGGTATTTAATCGTGGAGTGTATTGATTAGATAATCAATTGAACTGCACGACACCCCTGGATCGTCAATTTAATAGTTACCCCGCTCTAGCGATCCCCCAATTTGGGTAATTTTTGTACCTATCTATTATAAATCTAAAATCTATCACGTGATAGTGTACCTACCCTAAAGTAAAAACACATGATCGGTAGGTGTCCGGAGGCAAAAGTATCGATTTTGATAGATCTACGGTAGCTTTTTTGATAGATCTACAATACATACTAAATCTATGTTACGTT